GCTAATTTTTGCATTTTTACTAGAAGCAGGGTTTCACTATGTTGGCCAGGCTGGTCTCGAACTCCTTACCTCGTGATCCACCCACCTCAGCCTCCCAAAGTGCTGGGATTACAGGCGTGAGCCACCGTGCCTGGTGTAATTTTTATATTTTTTGTAGACAGTGTCTCGCTGTTACTCAGAATGGTCTCAAACTCCTGGGCTCAAGCAGTTCTCTAGCCTCAGCCTCCCAAAGTACAGGGATTACTTGTGTAAGCCACCATGCCTGGCCAGTATCTTTATTTCAGAGGCTTACTCTGTCACCCGGGCTGGAGTGCCGTGGCACAATCTCAGCCCGCTTCAACCTCTGCCTCCCAGGTTCAAGCTATTCTCCTGCCTCAGCCTCCCGAGTAGCTGGGACTACAGTCACCCACCACCATACCCAGCTGAAGTTTATATTTGTAGTAAAGAAGGGGTTTCTCCACATTGGCCAGGCTGGTCTCGAACTCCTGGCCTCCCACAGTGGGGGAATTATGGGTGTGAGCCACTGTGCCCGGCCTGTCTTTATTGAGTGCCCACCGTGTGGCGGCCATTATTCCTTAAGCTGGGGTACAGTGGTGAACAAAACGACTTTCAGGTACTCGCTTTGTGGCCAGGTGTGTCTTACATTTATAGATATACTTGTGGGCTGTCTCTCTAGCTGCCACTGGACTCAGGATACACAGCAAGGGCTCATTCAGGACTGGGCGGCTGCATAAGTTCACTGGAGCCGTTCAGATCCCTGTGTCCCCTGAGCTGTGCCTCTGTCCCCAGATCTACCAGAGCCTGTTCCTGCGGGGCCTGTCCCTGGTGGGCTGGTACCACAGCCACCCACATAGCCCGGCGCTGCCATCCCTGCAGGACATCGACGCGCAGATGGACTACCAGCTGCGGCTTCAGGGCTCCAGCAACGGCTTCCAGCCCTGTCTCGCCCTGCTCTGCTGTATGCCACCAGCTGGGGGAGTGGGGGGCGCAAGAAGAGGGATTGCTGGGCCACCCGAGCCCCCCAGGCCCAGCCCCTCTCTCCCTCTCCTCCACCAGCTCCTTACTACTCTGGCAACCCAGGCCCCGAATCCAAGATCTCACCTTTTTGGGTGATGCCTCCTCCCGAGGTAGGTGGGGCTGCCCTGAGGGCCTGGGGTGCCCAGGGTGGGAGTACCTGGGCATTTGGGTCACACTTGGCAGGGGCCCCTGATTCCAGGCTCCACTGGAGCATTGGGGCCCTGGTTTCTCCATCTGTGAAATGGGGACGTGACTGCTGCCGGGCTGAGGCTTTGGTGAGCCTGGGCACGGGGCCTCTGTGTGTAGTTTGCTGCTGAGTACCAAGAGGGCTCCCATCCTGAACGCTGCCTGGCTTCATTCCCTAAGCCTGCCCTGAAGTCAGAGGTCTGCCCTGGAAAGTAATTTTCAGGGCCCTGGTTCTCTTCTGGGCTTCTCTCAAGAGGGAGGATGCTACCCTGCCTCCTTGGTCCCACCTCCAGGTGCCAATCCCAGTGCAGAGCTGGGCTGGGTTATGCACTCCCATTCCCAGCCTGGGCACCGCCTGTTGTCCCCAGCTGCCATGGGCTGGGGGCTGGAGAGGCTTCTCTAACCGACTTGTGTCCCTACCAGCAAAGGCCAAGTGACTACGGCATCCCCATGGACGTGGAGATGGCCTACGTCCAGGACAGCTTCCTGACCAATGACATCCTTCACGAGATGGTGAGCTCGCTGCAGGAAGGGGCTGGCAGTGCGCAGCAGGGTGCACAGGATGTGCTGGTCTGCTCCACATTGGTGGGCTCAGGAAGCTATGGCTGGTGGCGCCTTGTGGGCCCGGGTCAGGGCTTTATCCATCCCTCTCAGGACAGAGCCCCAGGTTCTTGCCAGGGCCCCTCCCTCATCCACTGCCTGCTGTTCTCCAAGGGGCTGGCCTCTTATGCCAGGCTGTCCAGTGGAGCAACCCCAGCGACTTTGGTGGTACCTGGATGAACACTTAACAGTTGTACGTTCAATATTCATAAACTAGGCTGGACACAGTGGCTCCTGCCTGTAATCCCAGCACTTTGGGATACTGAGGTGGGTGTATCACCTGAGGTCAGGAGTTGGAGAATAGGCTGGCCAACATGACAAAACCCAGTCTCTACCAAAATGCAAAAACTAGCCAGGCATGGTGGTGGACTTCTGTAGTCCCAGCTACTCCAGTGGCTGAGGCAGGAGAATCGGTTGAACCCTGGAGGTGGAGGTTGCAGTGAGTCAAGATCATCCCAGCGACAGAGTGAGACCCCATCTCAAGAAAGAAACAACAAAACCCAAGTTAGTTCATCAAACCTGTGGCCTCACAGGTGTCACTGCTGGGATGAGATAGACCAGAGGCCATGTCATGCCGGTATGGTTCTGGAGAACTGGGCTCAGTGAGTGCATGTCCAGGTGGGCCTATCACGGCAGCGCAGCTGCCTGCCCCTCCAGAGAGCACTCCTGGCCTTAAGCCAGGTGAGCCTCCAGCTAAGGTCACTCCTGATCTCTGTGGTTATCTGTTAGTGTCTCGGGCCTGCCCGAGACTGGAACCCAGGAGAGGGGCAGGGAGGGAGCCTGGGAGTGCATGCTGCCCTGTCCTGCAGATGCTGCTGGTGGAGTTCTACAAGGGCGCCCCTGACCTCGTGAGGCTCCAGGAACCCTGGAACCAGGAGCACACCTATCTCGACAAGCTGAAGGTGAGCCCCACATCCCCCGCAGACCTAATGCGGCCCCAGGAGAGGCCCCTGGGGCAGCCTAAAAGGTGGTAGTGGTGAACCCCATGGGCCCAGCTGGCAGAGTACACCTGACCCTGGTCACCCCATGGCCACCCCAGCAGGGTGCAGGCCAGGTTTTATTGGATTGTGGAACTTCAAGCCCTGGCAGCACTGGACAAGGTACCAGCAGCGGGTTGTGGGAGTGGCTCCCTGCAGAGGGCCCAGGATCCCGGGATGTTTCCCTAAGGGCCTGGCGTCCCTGAGCGTCTTAGGGTAGTTCCTGCTGTGACCCCACCCTGCAGAGAAAGGGGCTCGTTCTGCTTAGCTCTCGGCTGGCTCTCAAGGCTGTGATGTTGCCATGGGTGTCTGGGACCCAGGCAGCGTGGGGCTGAGGTGAGGGCAGGATCGGGAACCTGCATGTAAGCCCCACCCCTCCACGCAGCACCGCCACCCCCAGGAGCCAGGTCCTGTTACATACCACCCCTCTGGCTTAGCAGCAGGCTGTGCTGTGGGACCCTAGCCCAGTGCCTTGGTCTCAGGGGACTCAGCCAGGCTGCCGGACTTGGACGGTGAGGCGTGGGCCTGGCCAGGACCCCTGGGCACAGCCTGAGGCCCAGCCCTCTCGTTTCAGATCTCCTTGGCCAGCAGGACGCCTAAGGACCAGAGCCTGTGCCATGTGCTGGAGCAGGTGTGCAGTGTCCTCAAGCAGGGGAGCTGAGCCTCCCAGGGCAGGGTGGGCTCCAGATGGGCTCAGGTAATAAAGAAATGGAAGCAGCAGCCAGCCGTGCTGGTCTCCCCAAGGCTAGAGTGAAGGTGGCTGGGTGCCCAGGCTGACACCATCACCCCTGCTTCCAGGGTACCAGGGCTTCCGCAGCCCCTGTACCCGGGAACTGGTGCAGGAGCCTCAGGGCCAGTCCCACCCGACCCAGGCTCTGCAGCACGTGTGAGGCACAGGGGACCTGCTGGGGTGTGGGTGGCAGGCCTGCCTCTGCACCAAGACGAGGCAAGGGGCTGTAGAAAGAGACATTTAATACTTCTGTTTACAAAATTTCAGGTGTACATTTCAGTCTGCCCTGGACCATGCCCACTGCTGTGTACTCATTTGTGCTGGGGTGTCTGCCCCTCATGTACTGCTGACAAAGGGGGTACAGAGCAGAGCCTGGGGTCCAGAGGCTTTGCCGGGCCACGGTAGGAGGGGAATGTGAATGTGGCCTGGCCCAGAGGACCCCCCCCATTTCATCGATTTTTAGATTGGGCAACAGAGGAAGCAGATGTTGGGGCTGCGGCCCTGCTGGTCTGGGCAGGGGTCTCAGGGACTCTGGGGCTGCCTGCCTTGGTCTAGAGGAAAGGGCTGGGCCACTTCCCACAGGGTGGGGTGGGGTGGCAGTGGCTCAGCAAGGGGAGGCCTGGCCACCAGGGACTGGAAGATTTTGCTCCCCGGAGCCTTTGTGCTTGGCCCTCAGCAGCATGGCTGGGGCCGTGGTCCCTGGAAGTGTAAGGTGTGCTAGGGGGTGTGTTGGTGGCTGGTGGTGGCAGCTTGTGCCTGAGTGACACAGGCCTCTGTGGGCCTGGCTGGGGGCAGTTAAAAAGCTGAAAAGGTACTTGAGGGCGGGGCCTGGGGGCTTGGGGCCCTGCAGGAGGCCATTTTCTCTGTCCTCAGGCAGAGCTGTGCCAAGGATCACAGGTGGCCTCTGTCCCCAGGCTGCAGGAGTGTGTGTGCGAGGCGGGGGTGCAGTGGCTCTGGGGTGGGACGAGGGCCCATCGCCAGCACCAGGCTGGGAGGGGATTTAAAACCAGGATTTAGGCCAGGCGCAGTGGCTCACTTTGGGAGGCCGAGGCAAGCAGATCATGAGGTCAGAAGTTCGAGACCAGCCTAACATAGAGAAACCCCGTCTCTACTAAAAATATAAAATTAGCCAGGCATAGTGGTGCATGCCTGTAATCCCAGCTACTGGGAAGGCTGAGGCAGGAGAATCGCTTGAATCCACGAGGTGGAAGTTGCAGTGAGCCGAGATCACACCACTGCACTCCAGCCAGGGCAACAAGAGCGAAACTCTGTCTCAAAAAACCAGCGTCCTGTCTGAGCCACCTCACAGGGACAGTCAATCCCATCCTGTTAAGGCCGCAGGACTCGAGAGCAGGCAGTGGGCCAGCCCCCATGGGATCAGGACGGAGGTGGGGGCCGCCCAGAGGAACTTTAGTGTTTCTGAGAGCACCGTAGTGTTGCCCCGCCTCGGCCAGCTGGGCGAGGAGTTGGGGAGTGGGGAGGAGGCCGGTGCCATGGAGTTGGGAAGGGAGCCATCACCATTGGGGGTCAGCGCTAGCATAAACAGGCATCCCCACCCACCCAGATGAGCCCCCCAACCCAAGTGTGGGGCCCTGCTCAGGGAGTACCTCAAGGGCACCTGCAGGCTGGGACACCGCCCTGGCAGCAGGGGCCCCGTTGAATGCAGGAGACCCTGCAGGGGGTGGCGGCCAGTGTGGACGGAGGGGCAGGGTGTGGTCACAGGCGAGTCACTGTGGCAGGGGCACGAGCACCTCCACGTAGCTGAGTGGGAAGAAGCCCGACTGGCCATCCAGCATACCCTCATACCAGTTCTCATCGATCTGGTTGGTCAGCGTGATGACATCGCCCTCACGGAAGCCCAGCTCCCCATCGTTCTCAGGCTCGAAGTCATACAGCGCCTTGCAGCTCGGCTGGTCCAGGGGTGCTGGGGGTGGGGGCAGGATGTGGGGCTAGCGTCCAGGCTGGGGCTCCTACAACCCACCCCACCCAGCCTAGGGTCTCAACTCAGACCTGCCGTGGCCTGAAGCCTATGAGTGGGTGGAGGCCACCCGCTGCCACTTCTGGGGTCCTGCCTCTACTGCTGCCCAGGAGGGAGGATGGGAAAGTCTTGGTAAGTGGTCACCACAGCTGCTCCTGGGAGGTACTAGGGACACCCACTGCTGCTGGGGTGACAAGGAATGACCAGATACCCTCAGCCGTTGCAGCTACCACACAGCCTAGAGCTGGGCTGATGCCTTTGGCAGACACAGCAGCGGGGACACAGCAGTCCCTCATTCACACAGTGAGGCTGAGACCCAGAGGGGTGGCGTCTTGCAAGGTATGGGCCTGTGCCCGTGCCTGGCTCCTTGCTTGGGTTGGGCAGAGGACCAGGGTGGAAGCTAGAAGGCAGCACTGAGGCTGTGGCGAGCCTGGGACACTCACGCATGCTCCTGCTAGGGGTCCGGATGGGCTTGTCAGAAGATCGGAAAGACGACGAAGCTAAACACAAACAAAACGCAGCGGCTGTGGGCTCAGTATGGTCAGGCAGGGCCTCTTCTGCAGCAGGCTGGGGCCAGCCCTTGCCATCCACCTTGGTGGTCCAGATGGAGCAGGGCTGAGAGCTGCACCCAGGGGCCTGGCACACAGAGACCCGAGACAGGCCCAGCCCTTAAACACCCCCACCTGCTGGCATCCACCTCCAGAAGATGGCTCCACGCCCCATTACCTGTGATCTTGGGTGCTGAGGCGCAGGGGAAGCCCCCATTGGACTGCTCAGGCTCTCCGAGGTCAAAGGGCTCCCGGGGCTTGGGCTTATACTCCCGCTTGGGGCGAGAGGAAGCTTCCCGCATCCTGTGAAGGGAGAGGCAGCCCCACCCTTGTGTTTACACTGCTGCCTAATGACCTGGCCCGGGAGAGGGCGGCAGTGGGGTGCTAACACCCAGACTCTGGAACGTGACTCGACTGGGAAGTCTACCCAGAGGGCCTCCCGCCTGCACCCCCACCTTGGGGGCGCCTCAGAGGCTGGTGAGCAGCTGCGTCCTGCTACAGCCTCTACCTGCAGCACCCCCAGTATATCCCTCCTGCCTCCTCCCTATGTTCCCACCACAGCTGGTGCCCAACACACGCCGAAGCCCTGAAGCAGGTTCAGAGACAGGAGCCTGGGTGTCCCTGAGGCAGCTGAAAGTACAGCCAGGGAGGGGACAGGCATGAGATCAGGAGTCTAAGGGCCTGCATCAGGGGTAAGGCTTGGTGTTTCAGAGTTCTCAGGCCCCTGGCTCCTCTGACCTCAAAGCCCTCAGTCCTCTGGGGACCAGCCCCTCCCTGGACTTGATCCTGGCACACTGCCCAGGAAGAATCCAGGGCACTGTTCTGCCAGGCACTCACCGGAGCAAGGTGTGCTGCCCACACCCGCCTGCAGAGGGCGCGTGGCAGCACAGGGCCCCAGCTCACCTGCGCTTGAGCTTCTCGGCCAGCTCGTCTAGGATCTGCACGGCCTGCCGGTGGTAGTCCAGCTGCGCGTCCACCAGAGCCGAGAGCTGACTCACCTGCTCAATCTGTGGGGACAGCAGGGCTCAGGGGCTCCTGCCAGCACAACTGCCCTGTGCCCACCCTGATTCTTGAGGTGAAGCCATAGGAGGCAGAGGGGCCTGGGGCCTGCACCCTCAACTGCCCCTGCTGCAGCGGCCAGATGGCTGCCGTCTCCGTCCTTCAACTCCCTTGAGGCCGCCACACCAGCCTCCCAAGGATGTAGCGCCCCAGAAACTCACGTCCGTCTCCAGGAGGTTGTGCATGCTGGTTTCTGCCACCTCCTTGGACTCCTCGAACTTCTCCAGTGCCTGGCGCAACTCTTCATCAGGGATCTTGCCCTGCCGCTTCTTCTTGTAGTCAAAGTCCAGGCGACGGCCCTCCAGCTTCTTCAGGTGGTGCTAGGGACAGTGGGGGACACAGGTCACACCAGCAGCAGCTGGACGGCCGCCCTATGCATGGTGTGACTTGCCGTCCCTGCACCATGGGGACTCGCCTGCCTGAGCGAGACCCAGAGGGCAGTGCTGAAGCTCGAGTGAGGTGAGGGCGGCAGAATGGGGCCTGCCCCATCCAGGAGGACGAAGGGACAGGCCCGGGGCTGGCGCAGGGGCAGCACCTGGATCTCCTTCAGGTCTTTCTCGCACAGGTTCTGGAGGGGGTCGATGAAGTTCTGCTTGACCTCTATGTCCAGGGAGTCCTTCACCTCCGCCAGGCGCTTCATAGACTCACCAGCGTCCAGCAATGCATCACCTGTGGAGAAGCAGTGGGGGAAGCCGTCACAGTGGACCTAGGACCGCTGGACTGAGACTCTCCTTAGCTTTTGTTTTTGAGACAGGGTCTTGCTCTGTTGCCCAGGTTGGAACGCAGTGGCACAGTACCACCTAACCACAGCCTCCAACTGGGCTCAAGCCGTGCTGGCACCTCAGCCTCCCAAGTAGCTGGGACCACAGGTGTGCACCACCACATCTGGATCTTTCCCCACTACTATTTTTTTTTTTTTTTCGGAGTTTCTTTCTTGTTGCCCAGGCTGGAGGGCATTAGCGCTATCTCGGCTCACCATAACCTCCGCCTCCTAGGTTCAAGTGATTCTCTTGCCACACCTGTAGAGAGGGGCTCACAGGACCCTGTA